CATTCAATCGTGGAATTTCTGGCAAGCTTTCCAACAAATCGGCGGGGACTGTGAAATCAATCTTCTCGCCACTTGGCAAAGGGGTGCCAGACATGTACTTGTCAGCAAGTTCCTCGCGGCTCAGCTGCTCGACATATGAGGCTTGGTTCTGGTCTTCGCAGAAACCTAAGTAGAAGGTGTGTGGTTGGGTTGATCTCATGTTCAAAAATGCCTGGTACATCTCTCCGGTGCCCAGATGAAGATCAATGAGCAACACTGCAGGGCCAACAGTTTCATAAGAACTGCCTTTCAGCACTGAAGAAAAGACCTGCTGGCATGCCTCAATGCCAATTTGTGAATATTTGGACGCATTGCTGATTCGTTGTCTCTCATCGGTGGAATGAGGCACAGCATCTGGGTCGACATCCTCAATCTCTCGCATCTTCTTGGGGCTGAGCTGTGCGATTTCTGTTGTTCTCTGTGTCTTTCGGAGATCACATGAGAACCAGCAGTTCTTGCTCAGCTCCAGCGGGCTGGCAAAGATCAATCGTCCCTGATAGCTCATTGGCCTTTGATCTCGGGCATCAAGCTTCTCGCAAAAAAAGGATGGAAAAAGGCCAGTCAATGTTCACATGATTGCGAACTAGCCTTTCCAAAATAGTCTTCTCTTCCAAAAAGACACGGCCTCGTTGGTGCGAGAAAGCAGGGCAAAGCATCACACCGATCGATTGCATTTGATCGGACAAGCGCCAAGACATCAGCTCCAAACCATTCTCCAAATTGTCGGCTGTGATCAAGCATGGGGCGCTGCAATTGTAGTAGATCACCTGTGTGATTTGAGACGAGTTGTCCAGCCCCAATTTGGATTGAACGCAATTCTTTTTGAATGTCATCGTTTCTTGAATGGCCCGCTCTGTCTTCCTCCCTTCGAAGACCACCAGCTTGCTGCAAGAAGACAGTGCCAGATCTGCAGCTTCAAGTGCCTGCAGCCTCCTGTCCCGTCTCCATTTCCAAGTCGCCTGGTCACGAGCATACTCGATGTTCATCGTTTTCTTGGACCAAGTCTTGAAGACATTCACATCGTATTCGATCTGTTTCATCTGCAAATGGTATTGATCGATGACCAATTGATTCTCCACTTTTTCCAAGTTGACCACGGGTCGGTGGAAGACCTGTTTGTCGCTCAGCCTCTTGAATGTGGGAATCTGCACCCGGACATCCAACTTGTCCACACGGTCAAACAGAAGCTGCTCCAACTCAATGTCCACTTTGGTGTCGCCATTCAACCATGCTTGAATCCATTGTGCAAAAACCTCTTTGCGGTCCACGGGGCATGTGTCCACAAACTCTGTCATGAGGTTCACAGCACAAGCTGCTTTCATGCTTACTTCCTCCACAAAGTGAACATCTGGTTTTCTTTTCTGGTTGCCTTTGTCTGCCATTCTGTCATGCCGGTTCTGAAGGAACAAAACCGCTGCCATCATGCTCTCGGTGCTGGTCTTGGTTCTTGGTAACCATGCCTTGCTTTTGGGTGGGAACTGGAATTTTGGGTAAAGCTTCTTCGATGACAAGTTGTCATCACTCCACACTGAACCATCCCAACCATGTTTGGCAACATGGCCCAAAATTTCATCCAAGATGTCCTGCCAAATTGGAATGTTTGAGATGAACATGATGGAGGACCACTACACATCTAAAATGACAATTCTAAACAAATCAAAACCAAACAAAACATTTTAAACTTGGGTCCTTCGGTGTGTCTTCGAACAAAAGCTTCAAAGCAGTGAGGCGCTTTCCCACAAACTGGAACTGCTTGGGTGCCTGTTGGTTCCAAGAGCGGATGAACTGCATGTGGGTAGTCAGCCCTTGGTCCACGAGTTGTTTCACCATGATCACTGCTTGAAGTGTGTTGGTCGCTTTGACCATGGAACCTCTGCACGACATGCGCATGTTGCAAAGAGCTTCATCAACTCGCGAGTGGATCTTGACATGATGGCAATGAATCTTGGATACAGTTTGATGTAGCATTGGCAGCTCCTTCAAGACATCAATGGACATCCCTGAAATCCTGTGCAGCAAAAACAGGAGTGAACTGGACCTGGCCATTCCCTTCAAATATCCCAAGGAGAAAGGAATGAGGTCGTTGTGGGCGTCTTGCCAAAGCAGTGGCTGGTCGGAACCAGGTAACCAATGCCTCCGTTCTTGAATGAGCAAAGGTCCAGCATGAGAGGTCGATGTCAAAAAAACCTTCAAGCAGAAACTGCTCAGCCAACTGCAAGCAAAAAGCTTTGCCTGGAGAAGGCTTCAAACTACTGCTTCCATCCAAACCCAAGGCTGAGACATGAAAGAGCAACGGAGTGGACTCTGCCAACTCAGATTCTTTCA